TCTTAAGATAACAAAAATCCCAAGCAACGCCTACATGAAGGAGTGGTTCAATGAACCTGTATACACTCACCCAAGAGGGAGTGGACTGTGTTACATAGGGTCCAAAAGGACAAATTTTTATAACAAAACAAAAAACTTTTAGGTGAAACTGTAAAACACATAAAATTTCTGTACACAGTATTTTATTACTACATAACAAATCATACAATCATACATCAACACTCACTCAAAACAAATCAGTAAGAACAAAACCATAAAAAACCCTCAGGAAATCCCATTAGATTACACAAATCAGTCAGTTTAAATTACCTCTAACTTTCCCTCCACAGAAAATTCAACACCACCTAACCCAGCAAGAGTCCGAGTAATCACCAACTTTGGTACTGATGTATCTTTTACGCGCACTTGGGCACCCACAACAATTTTCCCTTTATGAGTCTCTTTCAAACTAAATGAGGAAGAAGCTTCTCCATCCGACGATACATCCTGTTTGTAGCTCCCCTTGATGTATTCTAGCAAAAAACACTCATCTATCAGCGGCTTCTTGTACAACGAGTCTTCAATTCTGCAAGGATGCAAAAGAGTTTCAATTAGTCACAGACAAACAAAAACTCAAATATTTTTACTTACGACAAGAAGGGATCCACTGGAAGAATCCCATTGTCATTTTGGGGTAATGAGACATGTTGACTTCTGACACATCCGATCTCTCCTCAATGACCAAAGTGGGTGTGAAGACACTTTGGTGAAATCCCATCCTGAGCAGTTCCATCGTCATTCCACCTCGGAGCTTCTCCTGGGCAAGTCCGAATCTTCGTCCATGCAGCAAGATCACTCTCATTTGAGAGACCAAGTTGTATCGCTACAACATGATCCCTTGCAAAGGCCAGATACGCCCGGAGTTGGAGATGACCAAACGCCCCCTTCAGTCCAGATGTCTTGACATACTGCCTTAGATACTCCAGTGGAGTTGGTAATGCCATCCATCCTAGTCCTCCATTCCCATCTGTCTGAACTCTCCCAATCAGAGCAGCCATCCTCTCTCTTAACTCGTATTGAAGTTTGTACACTACATTTAATCTAACACCTTCTAGCACCATTTGATTCCCATCCTTATACATCAAAGGAAAAGATGGAAGCTCATCTGGAGCCATTCTTAACTGATCAGTAAACAACCATTTCCCCGGACGGGGTGGGGACGCCCCAAGATAGAAAACCTTAGCCCCAAAGGCTCGAGAAAGATCATTCAAAAATTTGTACAGTTTTTTCGTAAATCCAGAAAAGTCATTGATATCTAAAAGATCAGTCCGCTGGACCAAGTTCTTGATATCATTAGTCCCAATTCTCACAAAAACGTGACTAAACTGGAACCCACTTGGCAAACTAAGATCTCTAAAAACCCTATCCCTGAGTTCAGACGGGGTCATCGTTTGTCCATACCCAAATGACAGGCCACTGACCGAGTACTGAAAGAATTTAGTAAAAAAGAGAAATTCTTATATCACACAAGCAAAAGGAGACTGAAAAAACTCACTTGGAATAGAGACAATGGAAGATCTGCCGTCATATGAGATAAATCAAAAATGGGCTTTCTCGTACATTTGGCCTCATTTACATGTGTCACGAACACCCTATTTCTCATGACAAGACGGAAGAAGGAGAGCAACAAAGTTCCGATAAGAAGGACTCAAGGTTGAGTAGGGTCCACATCATGCACACACTCCCAGCTTAAGCCAGGAGTATTGTAATTCCAATCCTGAACTAGACATCCAGGAACCGGAAGCACTATCGGTTCCAACTCCGCAACATGACTCGCCGTCAGTCCAAGGCAACAAGCTGCATTTCGCATAAACACCTTCCCAAGGAAACCTGTCTTCTCAAATGAACGTTTTTTAAACAGTTCATTAAGACTTTTTTGGTTTGTACGTTTCATTTTACCAGTTTTCCCAAAATGAGTTCATGTTAATGAAGTAAGGAGAGGAGTGGTAAAGACACGTCAACTTTAGTGGCATCGCGCAATTTTGGAATCACGAATCCAGTATTTACAACGCCTTTGGGAACTTCTGGCTCCTGAGGAGAAATTGCCAATCTTTTCACACTTGTTGGTGCTGAAGACGCAGCACTGGGATTCGGCCTCTTCATCGCAGCAGCAGTAGATCCTCCACTTGGTGTAGATGGTCCAGATGTCGATGCAGTAGCTGCAGCATACATTCTTGGATGAATTGACATTCTTGCGGTCTTTGGAGTAGCAACACCCTTATGCTCATCAGCAAACTTATTGACGAGTGCTCCCATGGAGCCGATTTGAAGAGAGACTTTCGTGGATCCTTCACCAACCGAGACAGTCATCAACTGATCTGAACTCAAGAAAACAAAACGAGATCGATAGTAAAAAACCATCCAAAATCCTTTGAAAACAATTCTGTACACACCTTCTTGATTCACCTCACAAAGAGGCCCTTCCTCCAAAACCAAATTGGTCAGCCCTTGCAGCCAAACGGCCAACGTGGCAAGATCATGGATCGATCTTTGTCGAATACTGCTTGTCAACTGCACCGTACTCAAGTTGGCTTCCGTAGTTGCCAGAATGGCCAGCTTACGGTTTAACTCCAACATCTTCTTCCTCTCGGCAAGCGTCTCCTCAAACGACACCATCTCAGCAAGGTCTCCTTGTATCTTGGAGATCTGATGCTTCTTCTTATCCGATCTCTCCTGAAGTTTCTTCACCTGTGTCTCCAGGCCATGCTTGGCGATTGTAGCAAGCGATTTGGAAACGACACCATCTCAGCAAGGTCTCCTTGTATCTTGGAGATCTGATGCTTCTTCTTATCCGATCTCTCCTGAAGTTTCTTCACCTGTGTCTCCAGGCCATGCTTGGCAATTGTAGCAAGCGATTTGGATTTCACAACAGCTACAAGATCCAAAAGCTGCTCCCATTCCCCCTCCAACAGTGAAGTCAATTCCAACAATCAGCTTGCGAGGGAGGTTGGCAAGGAGAGGGATTTGGCCTCCACTGGAAGGGGCTCTTCCACCTCCATAGCAACATCTTTCAGATCACAAACCAGCATTAGAATCAATGAGAATTCAACCAATTTAAAACAAGATTAAAATCCTACAAATTCATCTAATTCAGGTTCGGGCTCTTACCTTCAGTTCCTTCAGGCACCAACGCCTCATCAAGCAGCAACTTTCCCTGCAAAACGGTGGAGTCGGACGAGTTCTCATCTGAAATTATACAAATCAATCAAGTAACTTTCTTAAATTGAAACGTCCTGTAAACAAAGTTCCTCTTAGAACCCTAAAGACATCCCCGTTAACCGAAGAATTTACTTAACGACCAACTGTCAGAACTTCAAAAAACTTTGGAACACTCACCTTGTTGAACTTCCGGATGTTCACACATCTCTGATGCAGACAAAGCCATCATGTTTTCTCTTTTTCTCGAATTATATCAAAACTTAAAAAAACTGAGTATCAAATCTGAGGTAGTACGAAAATTTTCACAAATGCACAAGATCTGAAATAAAGAAGGGCATTATTCTCAAATTACAATCAAGTCTTGAAAACAAAGAATCAACACGGCACTCAATCCACTACAAGATTTATTCGCTCTGAAATAGGGTGACCTTTGGTCACACAGACTCAACATTTCTGCGACAACAGAAAATTTCGGCACGGAAAAGTCTCGCAACCTTTGGTTGCACAGATTCTGCTATTTTTCTAAAAACGCATGGAAAGTTAGCAACCTCTGGTCGCACAGATTCTACCCTAACACAAGGGGAAGTGTTACAACTACTTTTTGATGGTCCAGGCAATGGATTTGGGTCTTTTAACACAAGATCACTACTCCTTGGACTTTTGACCTCCAACTGGGGAGGAATACGCGACACTAGACTATCCGTCGAAACGACAGATAAGTCTCAAAAGGGAAAAGTTTGACCTTTGGTCGAAAAGACTCACAACTTTCTATCATGAACGATGAAACAAAAGCGCTCTCGAGAGAATTGAAACAAGGGGATTAAAAACTGAGTTACCGGAATCAAGAATTATTAAAATTTTTCAATCAACCGAGCTTGCAACAAATTCACTGCACCGACGAAGGACACCAATCCGCATCACACTTCACTGACTTTATTAAGTATCTCTTTTTTGCACTTCGAGATCTGAGACTGGCCAGCTCAGGTCTCAAACTCTTAACAGTCCTTTCAAACCTATTTTTTCAAATTTTTTCTAACTCAAGGATTTTTATACCTAGACAACCGAATCCAGGTCTCTGCTCAGCCAAACTATGTAACAGAAGCCCGAAATTTGGCGTTTATATTCATCTTGCCAAGCAGACATGACTCACCGAACCGGTACACTACGTCATACCAGCCTCGAGCTGACGGAAAGTAATTTTTCACGTCAATGTTTCAAACTTAATCTTCAAAGAGAAAACGCCAAACGGCGCCTTTAGAATTCAAAGTCATAAACAGAGACGAGTTTTGGCAATTTGCCGAAACTCGTCCTTGGATCCTTCCGTGAGAATTGGGTTACTCACCCGTTCTCACAAGAACCGAAAAAACAGACCTTTAGTCCTTGAAATCTAAAGTTTAAACGTGAATACCAGTAACTGTACCCCAACGCGGCGGAAGCTGTAATCTAACCCAAAAATCTCTGTGGAAAACTTCCACAAGCAACCCTTTTTTCCTGAGAAAATGTTTCAGGATTTCAAGTCACTGTCTCTCAAACCATTGTACTGTGCGGAACATACAAAGTACTGGCAAACTTATCAAGACTGTTGAAAAACTTGTGAATTGTGAATACAACTTCTTTAAAATAGGGTGTTCTCGAGCACCCTGGTTGTAGCCCAACCGATTTCTGTGTTATATTTTATCCAATTTTTTTGAATATAATCTTCTACAACCAAACCTTCGTGACAATGCCTGCTCTGCACATTCACCCATCAAAACACCCATATTCCAACATGGGTACTTTCATGGGTGATCACCCATAATTTTTTTCACCCTGTACCCATACTCCAAAATGGGTGACTGCTATCCATGTATTATGCGTATTGTATGGGTCCAAACATGGGTAAATTATTTGCTGGGTATAGGAAAAGTGTAAATTTGTAAAAGTTAAAAAGGGAAATTGGAAAGCATACAGGCTAAGTGCTGGATGACTTTCAGGAAAGGCATGCAAATGATCTTTCATTTTCTGCTTTAAAAAGCCTTGTTGAAAACTTTGTGCCAATATATAGGGTGCTGGAGCATTAAACCTTGGACACTAAATCTTGATCATGTATATTGATTATTATTTTTCCATGATGAAACTTGTCAGAAATAATTTTGTGACAAGCAAGAGCAATTATGAGAATGAATTATCAGAATTTAAAAACTTGATCAGCTGGGCTGCAGCAGGGGAAAACTCCAGCTTAATTTTGTTGTATTTTTATAAAGAAAAAACCCAATATTCAAGAGGACATTTTCACAATGCAAAAAGCAACCAGTCAAACAATTCAAATTTCACAAAATAGAATCCAATAACTGATTTGTGGGATGCTTGCAAGGTCTGCACATCTCAATCATGATTAAAATAATGGTCAAACCTGATCAAAATAAGTCTTTGGATGAAGAATGCAAAGATTTTATCTTTGCAAACTTTCACAAATTTCTAGAAGAGAGTCCTTGGAGCACAGATACATCAGAAACAGGAATAAGCTTGGGAACTTAAGTTAAAACTTGGTCTCACAAGATTCCTGAGATGAGATTACAACAAGCTTTCCTAACCCTACATCAGTGGAGGGTTCTTTCTCAGTGTGTGGCAGAGTTGGGATTTTTCCAGGGGGTGGTGCATTTCAGATTGACCCAAGGTTATTGAAATGCACCCAGTTTGAGTAGCCATAATAAGATGGGAAAAATCCAGTAGGCAAATTTTCTTTTGTTTTCAAGATTTTCCCATGCAAATCCTATGCCAGGTATGCAGGACAAAATGCCACCCAGTGAGCAATTTTTTTAAAATTTTCATTGCAAATTTTCTGCAGGATTCGAAAAAACCTTGGACTTTTCCCCTAATTATTAGGCCTTGGTACAAAAGTAGGTTTTTTTTATTCCCACTGTCCTGAGGCACAACATTTTGAAAAAATATCCCAACTTTGCCCGCTACAAGGGCTTATGGGGAAAACTGGCATTTCTGAACACAATGATTTTTAATTTTCCACAAAACTAACCATCTGCAGTGCTCATGAAGAGCAAAACGTTGCATCGTTTGCCCCAAGTTGCCTTGACATGAATTGCTTTCTTCTGATGATTTTCCGGCTGGGTCATGATCCAGCAAAGAACTCGCACCCTCCTGCTCAGCTCATCCGCCACTGAATCATTCCCTTCAATTGTAATGTAAACAATGTAAATAAAATTAAAATAATTTTAGGATCAACGTAGCATACAATCATGCCAGGCAACATCAAAAAGACGAGTGCAAAATTTCATCATAGAAATTTGAGCACTGAGTTATCAAATGCTTGAAATCACAGGAACCAGGATAATTAGCAGAAAATTGCTGAAGAAATTGCTCAGAGAAAAACTTTCGGTTCTACGCTCGGATTTTTGAGATTAAGCAAAATTACAGGAAAGCCTTTCAAAGTCTCCTCAAATTCTGCAGCTGCCTTTCTTACGAAACAAAAATTAAAGTTAATATAGTTTAATCACGTTTCTGAAGATGTAAAATTTTAGGTTATTCCAAAAAAAAATAGGGACTGACCAGTAATCAGAGGAAAATTTTTCAAATTTCTTGAACATCTGAAGCTATTACATATTTTTTAAACACGAAACGTGATAGAACCCAATTTAATATTCATTAAGATTTATTTAAGCTTAAAGTACAATAAATTCCTTGGAATGACATTTGACCTGCGAGTTTTATCGAAAGTGTCAATTGTCGTCAGGTGCTTTCTCTGGAGTGTAATTATCAAAGGGTGTTTTTATACGAGTCGTGACGAGCATCTTGAAATTAATTCACTTTCGAAACTTCGCCATTATTCAGAGTAATAATTCAAGCATTCGGTAAACAGCAAATTCTGCATTTTTCAGCGAAATGGCGAAGAGGAAAAGGAAGATTCTGGTTATTGCGACGGGAATCCATCTTTTTTTTCCGCTGTCTCGCTTGTTTATGGTTTACCAGCAATTTTTCTCCGAAAATGTGTCTTCATATACAGGTATTTGCTTTTTTGCACGGGGAAAATCTATGATAGCCAAAAATTAATTCATGTTAGAAATTAGTGAATCACCTTCTTGAACGCGCACCATCTCATAATCCGGAATAACTGTCCTATTCTCTGGGGTATGAGTGTCCGAACTTTGGTTTCGTTTTCCTTCACCTTCCTGCCTATATATTGAAAGAGAAAACGGGAAAAGTACGTGTAAATTATAGGAACAACAACAAACATTTTTGTAGAACAAAGAATAATGATATATTGTATTGGAGGTGTTTCGACGAAAAACAAATAAATGAGCTGCAGAGGAGAATTCGCGGGAACCTAATCATCAGTGATGGATCTGACTTTGGAAGGGATGGCAATTTTGTATTTACATCGAAAAATCTAAAACTTCTCCGAATATTGTCAGTTACGAAAGAGCCGAATATAAAACAAATCTTCAGAGGAGAAATTCTGGGAACCTAATCATCAGTCACATCTGCTGACAGTGGAAGCCATGGAACTTTTGCACGCGATTTCATTGGAAAAACTGTAACCTCTTTAAAAATTTTCAGTTTTGAATTAGCTGACATTAAAAAATGAACAACAGAGGATAAATACTGGGATCAAAATCAATGACATCTGAATTTGGGAGTGATGGAACTTTTCTGCTGCATTTCTTCAAAAACTTGAAACTCCTTCAAAAATTTCCGATTTTGACTCTCAAATCCACTGACATTTAACCCTTGGACTGGGGAGGGTTCTTTCCCATAGCGGGACGGAGTCGGATTATTTTTGTAGCCTCCCACATTTTCAGTTTTGGGAAGGTCACCAAAACCCTTCCAGGTGGGCTGAGGCAAAGTTGGGATTAATACTAAAAAAGCCGGTAGCCTAACTGAGAATTTTTTTTTTGCCAGCAACATTTTTCTGTGCTCAGAGAAAAAAGCATTGGGATTTTTCCGGACTTTGCTCTTTAACACCTGTTATCATTTTTTTCCAAACCTCTCCAAGGTGCAACAAAATTTTGTGAAAATAGTCCAACTTTGCCGCACAAGGGTTAAAAATGATCCACAGAGGAGAAATCCTAGGAACCAAATCATCAGCAGTGACATCTGACTTTGGAAGTGAGAGACATTCTTTATTGTATTGATACAAGAAAACTGAAATCTCTGCAAATATTTTCAGTTTTGCATGCATTGATACTTGAAAATAATTAACAGAGGAGAAATTCTGGGAACAAAATCATCAGTGGCATCAGCTGATTTTGGAAGCGACGCAAATTTTGTATTCAATCAAAAAGCTGAAACTTTTTCAAACATCTTCAGTTTTGCATGCAGCACTGGCATTTCAAACTTATCAACAGAGGATAAATTCTTGGAATTAAAATCATCTGTGTCACCTGACTCTGGAAGCGGATGACATTTTCAATTCGATAAAAAACAAAAAATATTTTCTAATAATTTAAAAAGCATTTTTTGCATGATGACAATGGACTTTCTTACACTTGCTCGATCCCAAAAAGCCAAGTGAAAAAAGCCTTTGGGCCCCCATAAGCAACTATAGAATGATCCCTATCTGGTCTCCAATATAAGGCTTCATTCACGCCATCTCCTCTCCTCATGTAATCTTCTCGTATGGTCTCAAACGTCGACGTTGTAACCAGCACTCCAAGACAAAAACCGGCTACCAGTGACAGCAATGAGCCTCTGAACCCTGATAAATAATGATAAAAAACGACAACGTTAACATGGATAAGCATCTGTGTACTGTAGTTGGAAAACTTTAACTTCATAAGAGAATTTCCATTTTAAAAAATAAATGATATGCTGCGAGTTCAAATCCGAGCACCTTGTATTTATTTAGTACCCTGCTGTACTATTTTTATTTTCAAATGGAAAATGAAAGTACTTCCCCAAAAGTTTTTAGAATATTCTCTATGAAATACAATTTGACTTCTTGCTAGAGTAATTTAGCTGTTGGTTAAAAATGAAATTAAAACACAGCAATTGATAGGTGCATGACCTGCCAATAATTGGCACAAGCTGGTTTCTCTCACATGCAAGAATGTACAAACAAGTTGTGAAAAGTTCACAATAAGGCAATGTGCACAACTTTTTTTTCAAAGGTTTGACACAGAATTTCAGAAAGCAAGTCACAAACAAACTGCAAAATGTAGTGCATCCTACTGATCATATATTTTGCACTTTCAGGGCCTATTCATGCAATTTTTGAGGGGGAGCTGTTGGCAAGAACAAAGACTTCCACTGGAATTCTGGTAAATTTGGCCTGGCAATTCTGGTCCCATTTACTGATATTTTTTGTTGAAAATTCAACAGTTTTCCCCTTTAAAAAGAAGGCATGGTGGGGATATAAAAATCATGGTTTTGCTCCCCTGAGGTTGGTTTCTTCTTGAGTTTCTTACTAGACTGTAAGAATTTGTTAAATCCCTGCTTCTCACGGTACAGTACTTTTGTCCCCCAAGAAAACTGGGGTGTCATCTTACCAATTTTACTGGGAAGCATTGTTTGGTGGCTTTAATGCTGCCATATGGTCTTAGATGTTTGTCTTTCAGCATGCCAATTTGCATGGGCATGCAAATTAAAGTAATAATTGAAATAATAATAGTAATAAGTGAAGTATAATCCCCAGTCATGCAGGGAAATACCAATGAAATTTATGCTGAAAACATAAAACTAAAGTTGGCACAAACAAGATTTTGAAAAATAATCCCTCATTGTCTTCAAAATGGTTATGTTTCACACCACCATTGCTACTTTGAAGACCAATTATTTAAACCCCCATGGCACTTTTAGTTGTTTTAGTTTTCAGTTGTTGCAGAGGTGTTACAATATGGTTGTCAAAGGGTGGAGTTTTCTTCAAGTGAAGAATTGTCTTGTTTAATTGGTGCCTGGCATTTTGCAGAGTCCAGACTCTGACCTGTTGGAAAATTTGAAATTTGAATTTTACCTGGACCAGTTTTTAGATTTTCTGACAAGCACTCTCATTCACCTCAGGGTTTTCATCAAATCCCTGCTTCTCTGTGTACTTCCCCCCATTTTACTGGAAAGCATATTTTGATAGCATTATTGCTGCCAGATGGTCTTAGCCATTTGTCTTTTGGTGCATCAATTTGTATTGGTACACATCTCTAAAATATTCTCCCCAGTTGATGAAATGCGCATGAAATTTGTGCTAAAAACAAGACACTACTGAAGTCAATGCCAGCAAGATATTGCATACAAGCAGTGGCCAAAGAATGTAAAACAAATTCATATGTTCTGAATCAAAAAGAAGAATTAAACTGATGGCTATGAAACACGTATTTTTCAAAATTTCAGATAACTGGAAATTGAAAGTAGGCCAGAGTCCCAGAGGTAATAACTAAAATTAGTGATGCTAGATTTGCTTGCTGGCTCAGTTGCAAAAATAGTAACCAAATTTGTTCCACAATTTCCTTTGCATTTGAATTTGCACATGTTTCAACATATCTGCCATGATACAAGTCAATTTTAATTTTTCCCTATATTTATTGAGGCTTGAAGTATTTTTCAAATTATCCTTTTTCACTTATCATGCTTTTGGAAATCAAATATATTATGGTATTCTGGTCTTGTAAAATGGGTACAGTACTCACTTGAGGGAATTGGTTTCATCCAAAACAATTTTTCTTGTTTAGCCTTTCATCACGTGATGATAGTCCTGAAAACAGCTATGTCATTTAATATATTTTTCAATGAAAAGTTACCTACTTGAAAATATCACACCTCATTCCTAGGATTCCGATAATATTGAAGAAAGAACTAAATGATGTCTTGCATTTCAATTACATGAGTTTCATGAATGGCCATCATGGAGGTAACTACAGTGGGCCACCATCTTACGTCATCAATCTGTTCTAGGATGGATGTCATAACATGGGGCCATCATAAGTTGAAACCCTATTTCCCTTAAGGTTACATTATAAAAAAATTAATTTGTTCCAGAAAAAAAATATTTACCTAAAATTACCTTCATAATTCAAATTTTTGTCAGAAATTGCATTAATAGACACAAGACATGTTTGAAAGACTGTATAAAACAAAAGTGATAGGGGGTAGGGTAGTGAAATAGGGTAGGTTGAGAATGATTTTCACAATTTTGAGCACTTTTCACAACTTTTGTCAACCTTCATTTTTTAAAGCTTGATTTCGAGTCTGCATTGGTTTACAATTTTTAAATGGATTGTTTTTTAAAGATGCGTGAAGAAAGAAATTGTGCACAAAATTTCATGTCATACATGCATTTTGAGTTTTGAAATTTTGGTGAGTTCATTCTTTATTTTTCAAGGTTTGATTTTGAGTCTGCATAGGTTTTAAAATTTATAATTTGAGTTTTTTAAGGCGCAAAGAAAGAAATTTAATACATACTGTGCCCAAAATTTCATGTCATAAACGCATTTTGAGTGTTGACATTGTTTGAGTTCATCCTTCATATTCTAAAGCTTGATTTTGAATCTGCTTAAGTTCTACAATTTTTGAATGGAGTGTTATTGCAAGGAGTATGAAAAAATGATGTGGCAGGAATAATTCCTCCATTGCTACTGGCTTTCTTGGTGGTGTGGTTGAAAACCAGAGGAATACTGGAGTGGGTAAAGTGAAAGGGCTTTTATAGTTGTAACATGAAACCCCAACTTAAGTCAGGGGTTTTTCTAATTTAAGAAAAGCGTTGTAAGATGAAACAGACGTAACATGGGCCCGTCGTAAGTCAGGGGCCCACTGTATTTGTTTAAAGAAAATAATTCAATATAAAAATGATCTACTCAAATGATCTTCAGACTCAAATGGAATCACCACCATTTTATCAACAATTCAACTCTTGCTATTTTTTTGAAGTTTAACAATTATTCAAACAGTCCAAAGTGATTCTCATGCATGACATGTAAACTCGATTTGTAATTTAGAATAGGGCAAGATGCCCAAATGAATAGAGTGAAGTCGTGATTGAAATCGCAGACCTGTTTTCAATCCCGGAAATTGTGAAAATTGAACTGGAATGTTTGGGGCAAAAACAAAAAACCAAAAAAAACATGCCTGGCGTTTTATAAATCTCGCTTGTCGGAATTTTCTGTTGGCATTTTTACAGGTTCAATTTCAATTTTAGCAAATAATTTATATCACTGTTTGGGAAATTAAACAGAAACTTGTACCGAAAATCCGGATCGAATACGGTATAAACTCACGCATTGGGGTGCATGCTTCCATCAGTAAAGCCTTGACGTGTCTCCGTCGGAATCTCAGCAAAGAAACAAGCGCCATTGTTTTTTGAATCGATGAAATCAATCCTGCCGATGATACTCCTAATTTCCTCAAGACTATTCTTCTTGGTTTCAGCTGCTTGTTATCATTTTCACCATATTTACCGTACTTGAAATTTAAAACATCAAGAAAATACCAACTTGCACAGAGTTATGGATGTGTACATGCAGCTTGTATCAGCTTTCAGGAGGAAAGACGCGACAAAAAAAAGCTGAAACCGGATCAAAGCCAGGTACCACGGTCACTAGGTCATTTGGGCAAGTACTTAATAGATTGCTGTGTGATATTGAATATTTATTTTATGAGAAACATCAGCTAGAGTTGCTGAAGTTTTCTGGAGAAACCTACAAAACATTTACACGAATTCACAAGGAACTGTATTCCTTTTTGATGCATCATTTTGTATATTTTGTGATTATATTAATATCAATATGGAATGATTTAAAAGCCTGAAAATTAAATTATGCCTTAGACACAGATAGCCAAGGTTATCTATCCAAGGCAATCCAAGGTAATTTGCTGGGACACATGGTTTTGTTTGATTTTGCAATAGTCCAATCAGCGCAAATATGAAAAAATCTACCTGGAACATATTACCCTTCTGTTAATATGCTTTTTTGTTATTTTTGCAGTGATGTTCATGCACAAAAGTCTCAAGCATAAACCATCCACCTTTTCAACCTCAGTTGAAGGAACAAAATTATGGTTTTAAATTTGAACATCATTGTACAGTGAGACCCCCACATGCGGACGCCTTGACATTGGGACAATTCGACATGGGGACATTTATTTTTTAACAAAAAATCATAAAAAAGACCCAACATGAGGTCACTGACTTGACCTGGGGACATTGCAGGGTAAAATTCCAAAATAAATTTTAGAAAAATCTATTTTTATAAGGCTTAATTGCAAGAAACAGATGTTTCCAACCCAAGATCTATGCAAGAAAACTTCTTTGGTACTTTTCCAATCACTTTCCCATCCATTCAGCTAATTTTAAAAATGCCCTATAGCACAGAGGTACTTGCTTCTAGCTCTCTTTGTGACATGGATGTTATTTTTCCAGATGCCAACCTTTCAATTTACTGTAAAGAGGTACACTATTCAATGTTCCAAATGTTCTTATTGGTTTGAAAAGATATTTATTGAATCAAATTCAAGTGGCAAAAATTTTTTTCATGAAATTCTGAATAATATTTCTTCCATAAAACAACAATTAAAAATTATACAATGTAAGTTTATGGGAAAACAAGATTTGACTTAGGGACATTTTGACTTGGGGACACTCTTGATACACCAATTACGTCCGCATCTTGGGGTCTCACTGTATCTCATCTCTCAGCATGAATAGGCAGAAAACTCATCTTTGCAAAATGGAAACCCTCCTGGTTTTTGGTATGTATTTTAGTATTCACTGATGAACCACAGAATTTTCTTTTGGAAAAGTTCTACATTCAACCTACAGTATAAAGCAATTTCCAAAGGAAGATTAATGCAATTTTTTATAAAATGTTGAGAAGTCTGTCAGTTGTCTAAAATAGAATTATCTTTAGAAGGAGTGCTGAAAGACACCTCACAGATGATTCAATCAAGTTAACAAATGTGAAAAAAATTGAAGTGGATAAGAATTAATCAACTGAAAAATCTTTTAATCTTTAATGAAATAATGGACTTGAAAAGAATGGGAGAAAATAATGACGGCATTCATGTTTGCAGCTTATTGTGCACAGGAATTCAGGAAATGTTCGAAACATGACCAATTTCCATTGTTTCAAACAGGTTTCATTCAAAAAGAAACTTTTCAACACTGGAATGTATTTCGGAGGAACCATTCACGTTTGGATCCGTTGAAAAAAATTGTTTTTTCATTCATTTCTGCCAGGATTTTTCCCAAATAAAGGTTATACATTCCACTGTAAAGCACTAAGTTCATTGAAAAATTAAGACTGCAGTATCTACGCAGCGCACGACTTCTTTTTAACAAATTCAGATTTTTTGCCTTGCAAATTCTCAGGAAAGTGATGCAGATTTTTAAATTTGCATCATTCCCCGTAATCGGCAGTCATGATCATCTTTTGAACCTTCATACGTTAAGAAATTGCAACTTTTTCTAAAGGGAAGCACATTCTCGAGGACGTGAAAGAAAACACTTCATTATTGTCTTATCTAATCTATACCCAGCATTTTTTGAATTAACGCTCCAATCCGAAAACAGAATTTGTTTGAATCACTCTCTCAGAAACAAATGAGGGATAAAAAAGAGATCAAGAATACCATAGCTATTTCCAGTCGAAATAACTATTCCAAACGAATGATTCACGCTAGACGTTCTTTTGCGCAAGTGTTGGCAAAGAACTGAATTGCCAGAATATCGCAGAGCAATAAATTGGCGAATTTACCACGTGTCGAATTTTTAGCCCTCCTCACATCGGTGCAACATACACATTATTTATTTTACTCACTGCCGATCATATATGAGTCGCGAAACATGACTGGACTACGTATTTTACAACCACAAAAGTGACAAACATGATGACGATGACTGAGGAGTGAGGAAAGGTGGATGGTATGAAGCTACGCTGTGCAACGAAACACAAAATCGCGACAGGGAATGACCGAAAACTATGGGGATAGAGGAGAGGTGAAGGTGAAACTTCACGAGGGGAAAAACAACGCACACAAAGAAAAACAACTTGAGAAGGGAAACTTCGTCATGTCATTCGGTTCAGTTAGCTGAAGAGAAGCAGCCAGTTGTGCTGTCATATGAAGGGAGGAGGGGGAAAGACCGAACTCTCTGATGGGGGTTAATGCCTCCCAGTAAGCTTTAGGTTACTAATCCCTAAAAAGGAAGCCCATTCACATCATCCTTTGGCTCCCCCTGGCCCCTGAAACCATCAAGACAAACTGCAAAACAGAAGCTATAATGTTGCCAAACAACAGAGCAATAAAACCCATAATAACTGTTTGAACAAGCTGAGAATTGTTCTGTTCCTGGGAAAGTAATACAAAGAGTCATTTATCTGACTCTGAAAGCCTGGTGCTTGGGTTTCCTTAAAAAAAAAAGAAGCAACAAGGATGAAACTGATCTCCATTGTTGCTTGTCAATCCTACAATCCACCATCCTCACCCTGCACCCCCGGCACACAAAAAAAAGGTCACCATGAAAATCCAATTCATCAAAGTCACTGCATGGCTTTGATTTGTCAATACCTGGCCCGGCAAACCGGTGATACTGTAGTGCCTTTCTCTCTGTGTGTTCGAAAGAGAATAATATGCAGCAGTCAGGAGTTACGTCAACGACAAGGTGAGTTATTATAGCTGTCACAACATTATTTTCTGGAAAGTCTGGTCTGAAGTATGCAGACAAGGTAGACTTGATACTAAAACGCTTTTTTCCGGTTATGTTCAAATGCTATGAATTGAGAGTTTACATCCGTGACCGTTTTAATCAAACAAAAAACGTGGCGAAGCGTAGTTTGTGAATCAGAACAAATAATAAAATAAACGATAAAGTCTGTCCCTTTCCTTCCGCGATCGCGATCCTTTTTCGTTCCGCAATAATAATACTCGTCGTTTTTCTTGTCTTGCCTGAATATCGTGTAAATGTTGTTCCTTAAACGTTCTTTGTGTGCAGTCCAAGACCCTGAGCACAGCGACTTCCTCAAGATCCGGAAGATGCTGATTGCGACGCACATGCAGGACCTGAAGGAAGTCACCCACGATATTCTCTACGAGCAGTTCAGGGCTCAATTCTTTTGAGCTCGTTCTCCAATGGTCCAGGGTCAGAATCACGTCTTGAATCGCAATGAACCTTTTTTTAAAGTCCTCTCAATAAAGCGTTTGCGTTTTTCTATTTAGAAATATCATATCCGGGGTTCATACAGCATAAAAAGGGAAACAAATACTATCTTTCTCTCAAAAGGAACTGTTGAAAAATGAGACCTTTCCTTCATCAAGTCTTTTTGATTTGGAAAAAATACGATTTCTTTGGTTACGAGACAACTCACATAGCAACAACTCACACAGCGACAACTCACATAGCGACAACTCACACAGTGCGACAACTCACACAGCGACAACTCACATAGTGCGACAACTCACACAGTTCTTTCTTTCTTTTTTTTTTTTTTTACTTATTTTTCTTTTTTTTAGATTCAGGTTCTGGCAAAAATGTGTACCTTTNCCTTGAATAGATTGAAAACAAAAGTATTTAAAATATTGAACATAATAAATGTATGCAATGAATTTGGGACAAAATTATCCTTGACTAGGTTGAACACAAGTATAAAAAAATTTATAAAATTGTATTAAAAATGCATGCAATTAATTTAGGATAAAGAAAATCTAGACAAAAAAAGGTATACCTTTTTGCCAGAACCTGAATTAAAAAAAAGAAAAATAAGTAAAAAAAAAAGAACTGTGTGAGTTGTCGCACTATGTGAGTTGTCGCTGTGTGAGTTGTCGCACTGTGTGAGTTGTCGCTATGTGAGTTGTCGCTGTGTGAGTTGTCGCTGTGCAAGTTGTCCTGTAATCAATTTCTTCACATCCCCCGCGGGTATATGGTTAACTTAATCTTCACTCCAGTGCCGATGAATAATGCCCTTCCCCGGAAACTTGCACTCCACTGAATCCAGATACAGTAAAATTTTGTTACAAAAACTCCCAAGGACGTGGTTAAAAAATTATTAAAACAAAATATTGGTTATAACGAGAAAATTGGTTATTTATGCTTGGGCTATTGGGCATGTCAGACTGACATTTTGTTGGAAGCTGGTGAAAAAAGAATTGCTTTCCAAATACAGTTGAGTATATCTGCAATGTACATAATTAGATGAATCACCATCATTAACTAGTTCTTTTGAATAAATAAGGGAGAAGATTTAAAATATGCAGAAATCTTTTTATATCTTCCCTTTCTTGAGTGTCCTAGGAAATACAGTATACTGATCTGACTGAAGTATAATCTGAAGAAAAAATCACAAACTATTATATGTACTGTAAGAAGAGCATTTATTCATGATAACTATACTATAGCTGTATGTTCCCTGGAATAGGGCAGTTTCCCATCAAACTTACTTTTTAAATGTTATTTTCAATTTCTGAAATAAAGACAGAAAAATCTTGATTAAAGCTTAGTACTTCCTGTAATGCTAAAATTTCTGCACAAAAATGTTAAAATTGAAATTTTTAAAGTTTTTTCAAATATGCACAAGTTGGTTTCTGTTCCATGTTGTGTCACTTTGTAAAAATTTACTCTGACCCATGCAGCTCGTATAATAAAAGCAAACATTTGTTATACTGTATACTAAGATTATTGGGAGGCAACATTTTTCTTTAACATTGCTCATATGGATGATAAACGACTGAGACCAAGGAAACGTTTGTTTGCATAAAAAATTCATTGTAACGAGAATTTAAAAAAAAATGTCACTGTTCATCATTACTGTGTTATTAGAACGAATGTCATGGTACATCAGTGCTGTGTTCGAACAAATGTCACTGTACATCAGTACTGCAGTAGAACAATGACAAATAAGAGCGCTAAAAATTATTTTTTACTGCAAGACAAATATTCTTTGTTCACAATTTCAGCGCCAGTGATCTTTTAATGCGTGACCGAACTCAGAAAAAAATTTAGTAGATTAAAAAATTAATCTAAAAAACCACGTTTTCAAAAATCAAAAAATAACCTTAAACGTGGTGCGCATCTATTTCATTTGTATTTCACTTCTTCCCAACAATCTCCATGCGCACCACGTTTAAGGTTATTTTTTGCTTTTTGAAAACGTGGTTTTTTAGATTAATTTTTTAATCTACTAAATTTTTTTGTGCTTTTTAGTCTTACTTGAAAAACGTGGTTTTTAAGATTAATTTTTTAATCTACTATAATTATTTTATTCTTTTTAAAAAATATTCTTATAATTTTTCTTTTCACAAAAGATTGCATTGTCATCAGTTTCTAAGCTATCCTGAAAGTTTCAGCTTGCTAGCTAGTCAGGAAGTGAGCGAAATTTGAGTTTCAAAATTTGATCTGGACAAACAGACAGACAGACAAGAAAGTGAGTTCATAAAAACGTGGTAAAAACGTGGTAAAATGAATGCGCTGGTCCTTGTTATACCAGTTGTTGAGTCCAAAAAAAATTTGGGATTAAAGAAAACTATCAGCCCTGTCTTATTGAAAATGCTGAGTTTACTTGCTGTCCCGGCAAAACATTCGATCAACTCTCCCTTTGATTCAGTTGATAGAAGCGATGCATTTAATTCAAAATTATTTTATGCGGATGAATTCGGTTTCCGAAATACAGTACTGCGTCGCTAATGAACACCAGAACGTTTTTTGCTTTCCGGAAAAAATAATTTTGTGCAACTGTATTAGGGTAAGATTCAGCCTAAAATGTAAGCTCAACAGAGGAAAAAACCATATCAGTTTTAACCTTAGCTGCCTGACAAAATTTTTAGAAAATGCTCAAGCCTCCAGCAGCAGATAAATGTCACGCATTGCAGAGAAAAATAAACTGAAATTATTTTTAAACATGATATTGTATCTGCTATTGCCGTAGGAAACAGAATTTCAGATATTGATCAATTCCTGAAACTACAATGACTTCTTCGTGTCCTTGTTTCGATCCATTATACCCGTTCTCTTCTTGCTGGCGGTTTCGAGCGACTTCAAAAACGTTTGGCACGATGTCAAGCGTGCTTCGTATGCATTTTCCTCCGTCTCCTCTCACATTTGGCAACAAACCAAAGCTTCCGGTGCCGATTCCGAATGCTCTCAAGTTGCAAAGCACATCACTGGATTCAGGTCGAGCAACGCCGGACGTTGCTCTGCGTCAGAAGGAAGAGGATGAGGTTTGTTGTCTGTCAACTTGATTCATTCCGCAACTCTTCGTGTTATTCTTCCTGTCTTTCTTTATCTTTCTTACTCTGCACAAAATTCGTGTCTTGTCTGATGCAGATTCGGAAGATGCAAGAGATGCTGGCTAAAATGCAGGAACAACACTGAGGATGGCCGGAAAAGATCCAAGCCTGACAGCAATCTGCATCGTCACCGTCCGGGTCAAGGTTCTCCCGATCTTCGGTAGACTGCGACAGCGTAATTAATGTTTAAAATTTCAAATAGTTTTTTTTCTGTACGAGGATCCGAATTATTTATTTACCATACATCAGAACACACAAGGAACAAAAGAAACGGATCACGAAACTATAGTCCTATAGAAATTCTGTACCATCATAGAGCTTCATCGCGTGCATCATTGTGATGAAACGAGAAAATATTAAGGATTTCTCGAACGTATGACGAATCACTTGAACATCAAATTATTGCAATATATGTTTGATTTACGGCTACATATTATTGTTTTAAACATATCTTTGATTTATTCTTCAAGTTCCATCTTAAGAAGAAACAAATAAAAAATGAATTGTGGCAATGTCATGAGAAAAATCCCGGGCTAAATTAATTGAAGGATAATGTCTCGAAAAATTAAATTCTGCAGTATTTTATGTTTCGAAGGTTGACCTTGACCACCTCTTAGCGCAAAAGCAGGACTCTCATATATGAATGATGATTGTCAATTGGTTGTATTGGGAGACATTTCCAGCGATACAATGGAACAAAATTGGGTAGATCACCGTTTATAATGAGGTTTTATACACGTGGATCGGCATTTTTCAGGTGACTTTCCGAACGTTTGAGAAATCCTCCGTTCAAATGTGCGGTATGTTTAAGTCGAGGTGCGTTGATGGTAGAATTTCTATAGGAATATAGTTTCGTGATCCGTTTCTTTAGTATAGTTCCTTGCGTACTTTGATTTATGGTAAATGAATAATTCGGATCCTCGTAGAGTGCTTTGCGTTCTAAACTTTTACAAGTACGTGTACCAAAGTATTAAATTGTGTGTGGTCCTCCGCTATATATATTCATTCCTTCTCGCTGCTCTGCATTTCCTTGTGCCATATCTTTAATATATTTGAGATGATGTTAGATACGTCTTTATATAGGACAGTATATATTTTTTAGTGTCAGTCGTGAACATATACACGTTGTGTAACTTTTCCTTTGGTTTATTATCTGATGGGAATGTGTCGTTCCGATTTCCTCTTCTATCTCTATCAAGCGCAGTTTGTGGGCGGAGGGTGACTGACAGTTGGCAGCGCTCACTCATCACTGCATCAGTCAGCGTGAGTGGACTTCTCCCTGGAGCTCACATATGAGCTGCCAAATTTACGCTGCCCCCCCTTCCCCCTGCCTCACTCCCCATGCAGCTTCAGTCCCTCTCTTGTGCATATGCTTCAGCAAATTCAATATTTCACATCAAACAAATGATATTTGGAAAACTTCATAAGGTATGCATTTCTATCATACAAATTTCTAGTTTGAATTGTTGGAAACAATTTTGAATGTCCAAAGGAAGGGCAGCATTGAGAATGAATGCAAATAAATACAATATAAGAACCCTTTAATAGCAAATTTAATTCAGACAATTTCTCATTGCATGTACTCAACTTTTATAATCAGAGTAATGAAAAGAGAACCTTCAGTAAAGGTATAAGGTTTAGTAAAATGAATATTAACTATAGTTGTAGATAGTACCAGGGCCGGATTAAACCAAATGTTGGCCTGATGCTGCACCAAAAAATGGGCCTAATTTTCCTTTGCAAAAAGGGAATGTGAATTTTTCCTTGCACAATTAAAAGTATAATTTGTAGAGAACATAGGATTGCTGAGGCTAGAATTCACTCACATGTATGGTAGAATTTCATCAAAATGAATCTGATTACAATACATTTTTTTATAATGATTTTTTTGTCCTGGCAGTTTCTCACTTTCTCCATAGGCACCATATTATAGAAATGTCATTTTGATGAGCTCATTTTATTGATTGAAAGGATGCACCATTCCAATTTCTTGAGAGACTAAAGATTTTTGTAGAGAAAGCTAGGGGTTCAAGAAATGTACAACATGACATATTTCTTGGAAATTATTTAGCTACATTTTTAGTTTTATGCCTTTCTTTCAAAGAAACAGTATCCTACAAGATATGTTCTTCTCTTTGAAAGAGCAGAAAGGTATATGAGCAAAGAAGTTGATTCAGAAGGAAGTATACAGAATTTTTACTAGTACAAATAAGGTAGGTTTAATGAAAGGCAATACCTATTTCTTTCAAAAGTTTTTTCCTCATTTCATCAAAATACTGTACTTATTAATCATGATAGGTCTTGATTCATCTGTTTTAGATGCACTCTGAAGTTATGGCCCCTATTTCAATGAATTCCAGTATGAAATTAATTTAAAATAAAATTAATCACAAAACTACAGCATTACATACTATATGGCTGCTCCATATGTATATGCTCTGTTGTCCGTTATTAAATAAACAACTTCTGATCAAATATATATAAAAGAATATATTTTATTCACAACCAAATTTGTTCAAGACAAATATAACAAAAACAGACAAGTCTTAAGAGAATCTTGTTAAACGTACACAAGGTTCTCTGAGAAGTAACCGCGGTCGACACAGGATTAAATCTGAGGAAAATATCGTTCCTCAGCAATATATATGCTTTTNATTTCATCCACTTATTCCATTTATTCAAAAATTCACAGAATGTAAACACATGTATGGCTATAAACTTTGTGATATTTTTACAAATGTTGTGTCCAGGATGAGCACTTTAAATAAAAAAAATTTGCTTTTCTGAAGGAACCCTAGAGTGGAAGAAAAGTTAAATATTTTATTCTGGTCCTGCCCAAAATTTTGAGAAAGATTCAGAAATCTTTTGAAGTTTCCTGGTGACATTATTAAAAAAGTTTGTGTTCACATTAGAATGCAATGAAAGGCTTCACAAAAAGTCAAGAAAAATGCTATTCAGAAACTTGGAAATCTCCTGATTGCCTTGAACATTTTCATATAGACTATATAGAGCTATATGGACAAACTAGAAAATGGATATCAAAACTGTGGATTGCCAGACTCTTGCTATTGGAAGTCATGGTAGAAAATATGGATCAGACAAGATCCCCATGGTTCAGTGTACAGTATAAATTTGCAAAGGTTTAGATCTGCCTGTTTCCCAGGATGCAAGGTAGAAACATTTTTTTAGGGGCAGGGGTGTTCAGTGGTAAAAAAAAATCTCTTCCCTGCAAAACAGGGACACTTGGATTTACAGAACCCTGAGCAACAATGTCTTATAAGAGGGGGGGGTTGTTGGTCTAATGAGTCATAGCAGGGAATGCAGGGTTAAAAAAATTATTTTTTACATCACAAGTGTTGATAAATCACTGATGTTTCAGAAATAAAAAAGCATGATTTTTTAAACACCAGCAAGAAATCACTTCAGAAAAATTTTGAGGCCACCAAATGCTTTTGAAGTGGGGACAGGATTGAAAATTTCATCCTGCCATGAGTGGAATTGAAATCTTTGTTTGAATTTTCTCCTGCCCATGATTCCTTGGCCTGCATGCATCTTCCTGTTTCTGGCCATTGAATTTGATTTCCTTTTTTAATGCAGGAATGATTGTGTGCTCTGAACTGATTTTTATGTCCTTGATCTGGTTTCCTCCTCAAAGATTTTTATATTTGCAGTGTGTTGGAATTTATTTATTGTTTCCTGATTTTTTAAATCATGAACACTTTGGTATCTTTTCTGCTTTTCTGAATTTTCATAATTTTAAAAAGTTTTAGTTCCCTAGCTTGGGAATTTTTAATTTGAAATTCCCCAAGCTGGGGAATTTCAAAAAAAATTTCAAATTCTCAAGGGGCCTATTTGCCTGGTGGGCCTAATGCTGCAGCATCAATAGCACCCACCTTAATCTGGCCCTGGATAGTACTTCTCCCACTATACTGTTTATACCTATTCAAAAAGGCCTTCTGAAGTCTCTCATGATTTTTCTTTAAGGAGAGAGTGGTGGGTTCAGGGAGTGAGGCAGGGGGAAGGGGGAGCAGTGTAAATTCAGCAGCTCACATGTGAGCTCAGGTGAGAAGTCCGTCCACTGAATAGCAAGCATGAGGTTATTGATATTGATGGTACCTGATGGTAGTGGATGCAGCTTGGGTGGAGGAGAATGATGGAGTTCCAAGCTTCGCTGGACGTTTCGGTGTTACTTGTGCTGCTGCAGCTGCATCCTGCATGCTTTTTTCTCTTGTGGAAAAATGTGGATGTGTTCTTTTATGATTAATGTGATGCATATACTGTACCCTGTTCTGTGCTGGTGGTATCACGATCCCCGCGAACCCTGACAAGAGCAGTCAATCCCCATTGTATGTGCCCGCCATCAAACTGTAACTGCCCGAGTTCAGATTTTTTTTTTTTAAGCTATGTCCATGCAGCTAGTTGCGTTATTATATCTACCTATGAGATTTCCTAATGAATCACAGGGAAAATCTGTCCGTCTTGTGCAGTGTGAAATCTGTGGTGTCATTTCTTTTTTTTACTTTCTACAACGGTTAGAATTGAGCTGAACGAAATATGAGTACTGAAAAACGCCAGCAACCAGATTTTCAACTTCCTCCATCAGACTCATTGTGTTCCTACACATCCAACGGAATATGTTACTACCGCTAGGTTCTTACTTCAGCTGTTATATACGACGGATAACTTAGCATAACACGACGTCCACGTATAGCGGATCCTTATATTTTCAAGAGTCTAACAAAATTCTGACTAGCGTTTGCGTCTCACACGTTCTTTAAAATGACCATAAACAAAAAGTGGAAGGGATGACCAACAAATTCCTCAGATGTTGATACTGTACATCAGTAGCATTATTACGAGACCAAAATTCCCAAGCAAGGATAAGTCCGTTCATTTTCTTCAAAATCTGGCGTACCAAATGAGTACAACAATACGCCTTTGCTCGGATAAGGAGCATTACTGAATGCGTGGTACAGTACAGTACTGTACTGTACTTTTGTTTCCCACACATGTGTTAGTCTTGCTACACGCTGTCCCAAAATTGGTAGGAATTCTTCAATCTTTGAGTCTCATGAAAATCTCGGACGAATCGTTTTTTTCGCTCTTTATATAAACGCTTGAGTTGCGAGTAAATAGCAAATTTATTTAAATTCCGCTTTTGCCAAGTTCTCCTTCCATATAGGATCGTTCATCTCATCAGGAATTCATTCTGTGCCGGAAGCTTACTGTACAGTATTTCGTTCTTGCCGTAATTTTCGCAATAGTGATCAAAGATCGATGATCTGTATATAGTCTATATATAAGTCACTAACCATCCCAATAACGGATAAGACCACGAACACCAACTTGAGTTGCATTGTTCGTCCAAGCAGTCCTCCTTTGAAATGTTTGTCGGTTGAGGTTTTCGTTTTTTTTTACGAAGAATACGATGGGTAATTTTCCGCTTGATCTTGGGAGAGAAGATAATTTTATAAATTTAAAAACTTTCCGCAGAAGCATGACTCGTGCGCGCCTATAATAGTTACGTCATCGAATCTCTGAGCATTATCTAGCAGGATGACAACTGACACCATGATTCACGCTGATGACTGTAAAAGTAGCATCTATACGATGGATTGGACATCGTTCGGAAGAAAGCTTTTAAGCAGGAAACCTTGCAGATCTGACGTGATAAATGAAGCATCGAAAGATTCATGAACAAAATTTCAACGTGTTCAATTCATTTGAAAAGTCACGCGTCACTTGCATAATGCCGCCGTGCAGTTCCAGGTCGTCACGGACAGCGGACTGCTACATAATAAATAGCTACGGTACTTACACAATTGTCGCTGCGTACACTATGGAGAAATAAAAAAAAAACGTGTCGTAACTCACAGCAAAGTCAACAGCATCCACGGATCGCGTCAGTAATTTCGCCTATACAGTATACTGAATGTATACTGCTGCACAGTGTATGTTCAGTGCAGAAGGTATTAAAAAATCGAAAGATGAAGCAGTTGTCTCCATTATACCATTAAGTTTCTTTTTTGAACAGCCAAACTAAAACTGTTGTAATTCAGGGAACCTAAAAATTATTAGCACCCGCCAATCAGATTTACAATCGGCGAAAACTTCTCATGCCGCGGTGTGGCTGTCAGCATCACTGTCCAGGGTCAGTAGCGTCCGACCCAATTTTTTAACTATATCAGGTGGGGCTGTAGGTCCTTGTGCAATACATACACACATATAGTCTAATATCACAGTCTGTGGGGCCAGTTGGGGGGATGTCCCTGAGGATTTTAAAATGAATTCCAATGGTCTCTGCTTCGAGGGAAAGTCATTTTACATTTCACAATTCATTTTTTAATGCAATACTGTAAATAGAAATACGAAAGTGAGTTCACAGAAAAACGAGTTACAGTATTATAAGATCAAGTCTGGCTAATGTGCGTCTGTTGCTGTAAATACGTTCAGGGTTCATGCACAATACATAGCAAGAACTTACTGGGAACAGTTCCCCAGATTTTCCAGGTAGATAAAAAGCTAATTTTCTTCCTTTCACAGTATTCTTGTCATATGTGAATTCTTGTAAAGAGTGTTCAACGAAATGGATAGTTTTTTCTTGTCAATTTAATCTTAACATACAGTACATTGCAGACAGATACATTATACACTACCGTATTTGAAAATTCTTTACCAAGTTCTTTTGCAATTTAATTTTCAAACACTGTTCCAATGTGAAAAGAAGTCATTGATCCATTTTGCTGTATCGCGAGATTAATTACAGCCAAGTGTTTGTTGCGGCTGTTTTTGAAAAGAGCAAAGATTAATTTCAGTGCATGTACACATTGTACAGAGTTAATTTGTATAGGCGGTTTGTTGAAGAAAATCTTTGGAAATGGAAAAAGGCTACATCTGGCAATGTTTACTGCACATATTAATTTTCTTACTTATACATTATCTGCTGGTGTTAGTGTGAAATTCTTTCATGCATCATGCAGACATTTGGAAAGGTGACATTTGTATGCATTTTGAACCGTCAGAGTACAGTTCAATCTTTTAATAAATGGAAAAGCGTATGAATCTGTGTCTCACAAAGATAGATCATCCAAAAACTGCGGAACAGCTGGAAAATTTATTGTGGTATTTCTGCCGTTTCCAACGTTTTCTCTTTTTTTTTGCTTTTCTATTTACTGTAGTTGTCTAAGCCGCATCCTGTACATATTGTGGATCAAAATATTTTACTGCGAATTCAACCCTAGATATACAATTTTATAATGTCCAATCATTGAAGTGCATTTAGCTTATTGACCCTGCTAAAACTAATCTTTCATATGGTTGAAAGAAAAAAAAACATTGGGAGCTATATGAATCCAAGGAGGTTCAGTATATGTACTGACTGTACAGTATGTGGGCTCCAAAATCTCCCAAATAAAAGCGGAGATCCGGCCGAATGCTCCTGACTTCTACACCCTCACTAAAAGCGTTAGGAGTCTTTCTCACACCCTACAAAACTAATATCATCAAACACATCCTTCCATGAAAAATATTCCTCATATAGGGAGTCTCGACACGAGTTTGTGCGATAATTCAAAAGATGTCAAAATTTTGAATCAAAATTAGCACGTTATTCAAAATTTTCTCTCTTCCAGCACAAGACAATATGTTTCAGGTCTGTTCAAAAATTTGTTCTAATGTTTTGAAAAATTCACCCCAGCAGAGTTTTGCTCTCCACTCAAAAGATGAGGCGCCCTTCCTGCAGATTTCAATTTTTTTTCGCCCAGCTTTTCCCTCAGAATTCTTGAAATCAACCTGGCGTTCTTTGATGGGGTTGCTTCCAGATCTTCCAAGGCAATCAACAGCCGCCAAAGTGGCGGCTGTGAAGGCGCCTGTTGATGAAAATGGCCGTAGGAAGAGAAAAATTTCGAATAAAGTGCTACTTTTGATTTGAAATTTTGACATCTGAATTATTGCCCGAACTTTTGTCAAGACCCTCGTACTTGTTTCTAGCAAAAACGACGCATATTGAACGGATTTGATTAACCATTTCATAAAAACGCATGGGTTTTGGACATAGATCGCTCATTTCTTGACAGCTTTTCCTTTGTAGTGCGAAGTGCCCTTAAGACACGACGACTCACAAAACCCCGCGCGGATCCGAGACGTGGATGGAATGTTCCAGCGCTTTCGAGACCAGTCTCGCGAGCAGGGGATACCCGTTGAACATTCCATGCAAGTAGATACGAATGCCACGATATATGGTGTTGGAAGCAACTGAAAGGACAGTGCGTGGCTGAGAAACGTCGGGTGCAGTTAGTATCGTGTCGTGCGTACAAGTCCCTGAAGCCTGAACATTGCTTTGCAGGCAGTTGGGGGAAGTTCTTCTGCGGTTAAATTTTTAGACCCTCTTTCAATGTGAACGGAAGTCGCCGTTCCAGTTTGCCGTATTACGAGATTAATTACAGCCTAGTGTTCATGGTGGCTGTTTTGAAAAGAGCAAAGATGAATTGTTTCAGTGGTATTTGTGCTGAGTTATTTTGTATAGGCGGTTTGTTGAAGAAAATCTTTGGAAATTGAAAAAGGCAACGTTTGGCAATGTTCACGGCACATAATAATTTTCTTACTTGAACATCATCTGCTGGTGTTAGTGTGAAATCCTTTCATCGAGACAACTGGGAGATTTGTATGCATTTCGAACCGTCAATTGTACAGTATTACAATCAATGCAAAAGAAAGGCGTAGAACGAAGGTAGAGCATCCAAAAACTGCAGAACAGTTGGAAACTCTCTTGAGGTATTTCTGCCGTTTCCGATGTTTTTTAATTTTTTATTTTCTATGTACCGTAGTTGTCTGAGCCGCATCCTGTGCATATGGTGGATCAAAATATTTTACTGCAAATTCAACCCTAGAAAAAAAAATTTACGATGTGAAGTGGATTTAGCTTATTGACCATGAAAAAACTGAACTTTCATATCTTTGAAAGAAAAAAAAAAAGCCGTTGGATGTTATGAAGCCAAGGAGGAACAGCATATGTACTGACTCGCACTACTTACAGCATGTGGGCTCCAAAATATCCCGAATAAAAACGGAGATCTGGCCGAATGCTCCTGACTCTTGCATCCACACTAAAAGCGTTAGGAGTCTTTTTCAAACCCTGCAAAAATTAATCTCATCAAGCGCGTCCTTCCATGAAGAATATTCCTCGAATATACTTGTTTTTAGCAGGAACGCCGCATAT